AAGGAACCAAGTCGGCGAGTACAAGGTCCTCGTAATGAATAAGAAAAAGAAGTTTATACTTAAGGGCTCGCGTTTCCGTGTTTTGACACATTAATAATGAGATCTGACAAAGGTGCCAAAGATAGTATAGGGGAAGTAATTATACCGAATTGTAATGTATATATGAAGGAAGAAAAGTGGTTGAAAAGATAACTTGCCGTTATATATATATACTATATATATATATATATATATATATATATATATATTATATATATATATATATATATATAATATATATATATATATATATATATATATATATATATATATATATATATATATATATAAGATCTAACAGACAGTAATGCCAAGTAATAGACAGGGGAAGTTGTAAGAACCAATGGAATGTAAATAAGAAGAAAGAAAGTGGATGAAAAATAACCAGCCGTGAGCAGGCTGGTTATTTTTTCATCCACTTTTCTTTCTTCTTATTTACATTCCATTGGTTCTAATAATTTCCCTGTACATTCCTTGGCATTCCTGTCTGTTATATCTCATTATATTGTGTTAAAACACGGAAAAAACGAGCCCTTAGGTATACACTTCTTTCCCTTATTATATATATATATATATATATATATATATCTATATATATTATGCCTTGAAAAAGACGGGGTTCTCGTCGAAACGTCGGCACAATAAACAGTTGTTAGGTGAAAGCGCATCTACTTTCACATATATATATATATATATATACATACATATATATATATATATATATATATATATATATATATATATATATATATATATATATATATATGACGAAAAAATAAAATCCTAAAAATTCTAAGGCACCCACCGGGGGTTCGAACAAGCGACCCCTCGCTCCTCAGTGCGCTGCTTCAATGAACTAGGCGACGCCGCACATTTCTTTTGTTAATGCATGAAATCATCACCAGTAATTGTAAACTACACACAACATGCTTCATCAGAAGACAGCAAATACACATAAGCGTCCAGAAAGAAAAGCCACTTTGCAACAGGGTCAGAAATCCCAAGAACACTGCGCACTTCAGCACCTTCTCGGAAGACGGATCTCGTCGATCGTTGGGGCTCGGCTTATCTATCAATCATGCCACTTTTCTGTAGTAAATAACGTCCCAATATTATAAACAGGTTATATAGAGCATTATTTTTTCAGGCTGTTTTTGAAAGGTTGGAATATAACACCTTGAGCTGTGATATGAAGTTCCTTTCTGATTGCTTTTTTATTTAAACTTAAACCTTAAACTCAACTGACTATGCTGCTCATACTGTCTATAATACCAGTGGTGATCATGTATATACATTAATTGTTACTGGTTTACTGTCAATAAACTTTAAAAAACATTCTTGACCAAAGCATTTACTTTTTTGGACAAACCGTACTTGCTTTCCTTAACAATTGCGTGTTCAATGGCTTAATCGATGGAGGAGTGGAGTCACTGGAGCAGATACAGTTGGATAAAAGGGGCATTCCTAGATATCTTTGGGTCCACTTTCACTCTGAAGAAACAGGAAAAGTGACTCAAATCAAGTCCAAGACTATACGGGAAGTTGCTGGTCCTGTCGTGCCGGTGCTTTCCGCTCTCATCGAAATGTGCGGTGCCACTATAACTTTCAATAGACATACTCCACTCGCTGCCCCAGATGAGTTGTGGTGACGCTTGAGCCGGTAAAACGTCCCACGGATTCATCGTTGAAACAGTGTACATCTTACCGGCCACCTTGCGGCCTGATGTCATGAAAGTTTTGCTGCACAACTTCCGTGCGGTGTGGCTACTGTGTGTAATTGATTGATTGATATGTGGGGTTTACCGTCCCAAAGTCACCATATGATTATGAGAGACGCTGTAGTGGAGGGATCCGGAAATTTCGACCGCCTGGGGTTTTTTAACGTGCACCCAAATCTGAGCACACGGGCCTACAGCATTTCCGCCTCCATCGGAAATGCAGCCGCCGCAGCCGGGATTCGATCCCGCGACCTGCGGGTTAGCAGCCGAGTACCTTAGCCACTAGACCACCACGGCGGGGCTGGCTACTGTATGCAGTGGTGATAGTCACTGAAGACTTCAACGTTAACGTACTTCGATGGGAAAACAAGTTGATTGTCCCGATCCTCGATGTGGAATTCAGACTTCATCTTCGGTTGGACGTCACACAGTCAACTATTCACAACACCACCTGCGTAGATACTGTTGTTACTGCATTACAGTAAATTCAAAAGCAATCAATCATGTTCACCGAATTTCATACGGTTTCTAAATCCCATAGTCTTACTTTAATAACATGTGTTGCTATCACATTCAATGCTTCAGCCTTGTGACAAATCTGTGACATTATTGATGCCACCATTAAAAAGACATGTTTATATTTTCAGGATGCAGTAGAGTGAAACCTGCAATACGTTTTAGACCCATATACGCAGATTTATCAGGAAGACGTAATAAACCATTATTTCCTGATAGGGTGGTGAGTTTAACATAAGCCGCATTTTGATGCCGTCAAAGGAGTTGTGACATGACTTTCAGAAATTCCGTATTGTTCCTCTGAATAAGATAAGTAATATCGAGAGCCTTAAAAAGAACATTGTGTTGCCTCAGGATGCATTCAGTATGTTTTTATACTACTACATTAAAATCTACTTTCACTTTAGACACCATGAGGGTCTTGTCACCATGATGTGTCAATGCAGTTTCTCGTAAGCTTAAGTTCCATAAAAACAGCAACTCTTTGCGTACTAGCAGCATCTCCATCATGCACTGTCGGTTTCACGTGGTGCACGTAAACAACGATGAGTAAACTGCCATTCCGCAATGTCTGGCGTGTGCATTACGTAGATTTCGGAAACCTAGTGAAATGAGGATACTCACCGTGATAATGTGCATTGCTGTGGGGCTGCTTTATAGATTCTCGATCACTGAGAGTGAGGGAAGCAATTTTATTAGGTAAAAAAAAGACGCGATTACACTCGGCGCCAGCTGCAGCTAGGCCCACTCGAGGACCACCAGCTTAAACCAGACAGGCACACTGGGGGCATTCTAGACGTCCGGGAATAGAGAGGTCTTGTCTTGGGCCTTAATGAGTTTCTTCATCTCCCCATGCTTGGTGGCGGAAGTTTTGAAACCAGACAGAACTTTTTAGACATGTTTCGGCTCTCCCATGTGTGAAAAGCATTAACCTTGCATACCAAGAGAACGAAAGAAAGATGTATCTTTGGCGATGTCTGAGAAACGTATCTTAGCTGCTTTTACGTGAATATTCCTCACACATTCTAATCCTCTAAATGCATGACCACCATAGAGTTTCGTGAACAGAGGGCTTTTAAGCCTGTTCTTGTGTACATTGCAAAAAGTTCGCTGGTGGTGATGCGAAAAAGGATGCCGACAAAGTGTTTATACTGTGAAGTTCTCACTCAATAATATTAATATTAATACACCAATTTAGTTACAGACCCGTGAACTGCAGGGGGGGGGGGGGCAGGGCGGTGAGCGGGGTCACAAAGCCACTCCTTCACAATGAAATGACAGGAAAGTGGGCACTGTGACCAACGTTCACCTCGCCCACTGAAGAAGAAACCGGCGCACACTTATTATTATAGTTAAGCCACATCGCAACGCAGCTAAAAAGGCGACCACATTTGTTTTTGTGGATCACTAGTTCAATGTAACATTCACTAGTTCAATGTAACATATATATATATATATATATATATATATATATATATATATATATATATATATATATATATATATATATATATATATATATATATATTCAGAAAAGAGGAGGAAAAAATAACCAACCTACTCACGGCTGGTTATTTTTCATCCACTTTTATTTCTTCTTATTTACATTCCATTGGTTCTAATAACCTCGCCTGTACATTCCTTGGCATTACTGTCTGTTAGATCTCATTCATATAGTGTCAAAACACGGAAAAATGAGCCCTTAAGTATACACTTCTTTCCCTTATTTGATTAAAACAAGGGTCTCGTACTGGCAGACTTGGTGTCATTAGGTTGTATACGAGGGACTATTAATCAGCTGGCCGCTCGTAATTAGTTCACGTGCTACGTGACGCCAAACATGCGCATAAAAGAGTGTTTCACACTCGTCGCTTGGCTTATAGATGGCGCTGACTGACACCCCTACTTCTAAATTCACATATTAACCCGAAACAGTGGATGGAGGGAAGGCCGCTGTGGTAGCTCAGTAGTTAGAGCATCGAACGCGTTATTCCTGCTCACGGCTGGTTGTTTTTTCATCCACTTTTCTTTCTTCTTATTTACATTACACTGGTTCTAATAACTTCCCTTTGTTGGGACTCCGGGTCCTGCCGGTCTCGTTTTCGGTAGCTGGCCCCGTCGCAGGATCCATCGTCCAACAATTCAGCGAGAAGAAGCGCCCGAACGAACAACAGAGATTTATTTACATGAGGAGAAGTGGTCAACTGACCCAAAGAGAGAAGAGTGCGTGTGATACAAAACGTCTTCGGCATTTTATAGCGCCGCGCCGTTGACACTGGGCGCCTTGTCCGCATCGTCAGCCAATACGGTGTCGCCGGCACCTCGGCCACGAGGGAGGGGAAAACACCTCTCACAACACAAGGAGTGGCACAACCCAACACGAGGTCCATATATGGTCCCGGCGCCCCAAAATGTTACCAAATATGGTCACGAACGCACAGCAGACCCCGTAGCTCTCCCGGCGAGGAGGAACCCGAATGGGGAGGTGGGGGTGGACGACACCGTCAGGTCAAGAACCGGTTCTCCCCCAAACTCTCCCTGCTTGGCTCCCCAGGGCCGGTCGTAACACCCTGTACATTCCTTGGCATTAATGTCTGTTAGATCTCATATATTAATATATATATAGATAGATAGATAGATAGATAGAGAGAGAGAGAGAGACGTGTTTAAACCTCATAAAACTGCAATAAAAGTAGACATAATAAGGTATACCGTCATGAAAAAAGCTTCTGAACAAAATAAAAATAATTTATTAACAAATTTGTACAAAATTGTTTTTTACATCTTGAACACGGATTTAGTCGTGATCACTGTGACTTGATCTTGCGTCTGTAAAGGATATAAAAAGACAAATTATTGCCGACGATTGATATAGAAAATAAATGAGCAAAATATTTTTAGTGCTTAAATAAAGTCCGCAAAAATTTGAATGCAGCAACCACATTGTTATTTTTGCAACTATGCAAAACATTTCATGCAATTACCGAAATTTAATTAAATCATTGCACATCACGTAGCTTTGCTGGCTACGTGCACTACGATCAACTACATTAAATTTTTTTATTCATTTTTTGCTACATCTTGGCTCCGTATGTAGAATACGAATGAATAAGTAATTCTTAGTTCAATTTGTTTCTGCTTAGGCGTGTGAATGAATTACATTATTTGTGTAGCTGAATTAGGTAACAGAATACGAGAAATCAGATTGACTGCAGGTTTCCAGCAGTGACCTAACAACCTATGAGTGGGGAGGCTAATGCTTGTGTCAAATTATCTGCTGTTGAAAAATGGCGTTTACGTTTTTAATTGCTACGGCAGCAATACTGATTACGTGAGCTGCATTATTTAGACGCAATAGAAGATACAGAGAGCCGTTTCGGTAACCTAAAAAAGGGCTCATGAGCACTAAATGGAGAAAAATGCAGACTTGTTTACCAACGTAGTTAGGTCGTAGAGCTTACGCTTTGACAAAAAATAAAACGAAAGGGGTGGGGGTGGTTGAGTTAGCACTTGAACAGCTACCCCACACATAGTGGATACGAGTGTCCTGATGCCTAGAGCACCGTCTTAAATGCACTACACTGTTATGCGTCATGTAAAAAGCAAGCGAACATTAAATGACTAACTTCCCACACCTTCTCTAAAAATGGCCAATTCCACCGACTTGTCCGAAGCCAGACTGTCCAAAACTACCCTGGTGACCCGCGGCGCCACCGGCGAAGCCGCCGGAATGCTGGCCGTAACCGGTTCCGTAGCGGTTCGAGTCAGTCTTGGAGAAGCCTGTGCTGGAGCTGTAGCCCATCTGGTTGTTGTAGCCCTGCACGTTCCTGAACGAGTTGCCACCGGCAAAGCCAGCCGAGCCCTGGTTGAAGCCCTGGGCGCCACCGGCGAATCCTCCTTGGTAGCCGCCCGCCTGTTGGCCGTAGGCAGCACCGCCAAGATGGCCTGGGAAGCCTCCAGCGTAACCAAGAGGACCGCCGCCAAAGAGACCACCTCGTCCCTCGATCTTCTCTTCCTTGCCAGCGTCGGCAGTGGCTGGCGCGTCCTTCTTTGCTGCAGGCGCAGTGACAGCCAGGCACACCACGGCAGCCAAAATAGTGATGCTCAGAAGGTTCTACAACGGGGAAAAAGTGAAAATCAGTGTCGCGTGGAGCCTGCAAAAAGCTAAAACTAATAAATAAGCGAGAGTCAGAGCAAGACAAAGTAAACAGGAGGCAGGTGCGATATCAAGGTATCACTGCAGGAGTGGAAAGTGACAAATTTGGCAAGCTTTGGTGGTGTATCGGGGACTTAAGACCTGACGAGTGTTATTGAAAGGCATAAAAATTATTGCACCTACACATAAAAGCCCTCAATATGCATTCACTGACAACAAAAACTTCGGGATATTTAGAGTGTGCTATAGAATTCTTGTAATTCACCGCATTGTGGAAGGTGTGCCTATCTTTCACTGTCGCAAAGGAATAGCCCATACTCGTGTGGATACACTCTCTGCTAAAAATTTAGACGAGTTACTGGTAGGCTAACGTGACAAAGTGATGTTGTCTGTTGGACAGAAAATTTGTGTAATCAGTGTTACTGAGAAGCATTATATGCATCATTGGACGTGAGAACATGCATTGCACTCTCCTTTTTTAGTTCGTAAAACTAAAGAAGAATCATGTGAATTTAAAGTTTCTGTGTTTCACAATAGAGAGAAAATTTTGAAATCACAGTGTACAGATCCGTTATCAAGTCGATGTTGGTGTTGTTACTGTGAGCTCAACTGTGCAGTCACTAGAAATTATCACGAATAATCCAAGGCAGTTTAAAAACGCATTTTATACAGTATTTGCTAGGCCAGCCTTCAGCTAAATGCATTCACAGGGAATGCTAGCTATTGCCTCTTGAAAAACAGTGAGCAGTGTTCACTCCGAACATATTTATACCTTCAGACCGTCTCAAGAATCTTCTGAGACAAATGCATTAGAAACACTCACGAGTTCTGTCAATGAATAAGCGATGCAATTTCTGCAATCGCTGCCAACAATAGAGTCACGTTGTCGTACATGTTCCTTAGACCAACACAATTCTCCAAAACTTGAACGACCTAAGCCAGTTCAGCTTCTCTGCTTGCCTAGCTCGACAGTAATCAGCTTTGCGCGAGATTTGTTTGTGCGTGCACATATTATTCACCTTTACTTTTTCGCCAATAGGGGCTGAAATGTTTTTCGAACAAAAAAAGTATTTTATATATGAAATATTCCAAACATTTTAAAGGAAGTGGTTTAGCCACTTTCAAAAAAAGCACTCGAAACTGAGAGCCCTTATATCTTTCAACGAAGGCACTGAAACTTCTAATGTGCCAGACTGCAATGCTTTCGTTGAAAAATACCTCCACTGCAGCAAAGTCAGCTTCTTACCTTCATCATTGAAAGTGGGATCTTTTCTCCGCCAAGATGCTCGTATGTCTTTGCGATAAGAATGCTGGCCGTTTTATACATGGCTCAAATATGGCAAGATTTTCCGAATGAACGTGAGAGGACGCTCGAAGCCTGGTTAAGTGTTACATCATTCGGCCGCAAAGCACGAAAGAAAAAAAGAAGCAAGGATTAAAAAAAAAACGTTGACGATCTTCCCAGTTGTCCCCATCACACAGCTCACGCTCTCACTGACGCCATGTGCTGCGTCCTGGTCATACAGATAAGGCTAGCAGTGGCCTTGCATTAGAAATACTTGGGGCAATACGCCCGTCGAAGTGGCGTTTCTTGTGGCCAGTGGAGCGTGTACGGAACGGCCAGCAGTTTTTGCCCCATTTCGTTCGAGGAAGTGGAGATCGCCTATACAATGTGCCCTTGACGCACGCGCTGCAGGCCAGGAACGAAAAGAAAACGTATCACTCAGGTGATGTCATTGCTCTTAGGTGGAAATCACGGGCCGCCGTACGCATGTTCATTTCCCCACGTCGTCGCGTAACGTGGGTGGAAACGTGACATAATGTTTCGATTACGTGGTACGCTTCTATGCACTAACACTGAAGTATTTTGGTGCCACTCTGTCCTAGGACTATAGTAGGAAGGACTTTCACAACTGAGCGTGAGGAGAAGTTTACACAGAGACACACACACGTATATATATATATATATATATATATATATATTCAACACTTTGAAATTGAAAGGTACTTAGGAGACGAATACTACTCGCACTAGCCTGTAGGTACTCAGGCTATTTTTATTTCTCCCCATACTAATTTATCATAATTCTAAATTACATATTTTAATTTATGGGCTGAAAACCCAAAATATGAACATTAAGCTGCGGAGCACTTTCAGAAACCACCAACTGCATTGTTTCCTGTATGATACGCCTAGCGCTGTTATTTTTCCCGTGTTGTATAGAAAGCCTATAGCAGTACTACAGTGCGCTCGCGGTCCACGATGCGGCTTTTTTTTTTTTTTTCAATTTCGTGGCTTTCTTTACAACGTGGAAAAAATAACAGCGCGACACGTATCGTACAGAAAACAATTTAGTTGGTGGTTTGTGAAAGTGGTCTACACCTCAGTGTTCTTATTTTGGGCTTCCAACCCATATTTAAAACAAGGCAATTAAGAAATATAAATAATTAGTACGGGTAGAAATAAAAAGTAGCCTGAATACCTATACGCTTGTGCGAGTAGTACACGTTTGGTTCAATTCACTACTGAAGTGTCTTTCATTTTCAAATTCATGGTTTAAGGTATGTTGGACACCCTGTATGTATGTATATACCACAGTCACATTATGATAATTTTCTGTGCTTGTTGCTCAAATATTTTAATTTTGCTTCTAATATTGACATGTTGTTTAAAAAGTTAGTAAGGCTGTTAAAGAATACTACATACCATGTTCAACTGCGTTCCATGGTGTGTTTTTTGGAATCACGTAAGATCTTACTTTATGGGCACTAGTTTTATTCTTGAACTATTTCTAGAAGCATAACTGAAGGCCGCTACTTTGTTTGTTGCAGTTGATTTATATATGTCTTGGTTGTTTGTTTTCTACAAAGTGAGATGTATTTTGATCAATTGATATACATAAAAGCATGGGAGGAGTGGCAAAATAAAAAAAATGTTTTGTCTTTAAAATTAAAACCTGTATATAAAAGGATATCATAGTTGAAATCAAGAAGAGGAAATGGACATGAGCTGGGCATGTAGCATGTGGACAGGATAACCACTGGTCATTAAGGGTAACTAACTGGATTCCCAGAGAGGGCAAGTGGGTTAGAGGGAGACAGAAGGTTAGGTGGGCAGATGAGATTAAGAAGTTTGCGGGTATAAATTGGCAGCAACAATTGATTGATTTGATTGATATGTGGGGTTTAACGTCCCAAAACCACTATATGATTATGAGAGACGCCGTAGTGGAGGGCTCCGGAAATTTAGACCACCTGGGGTTCTTTAACGTGCACCCAAATCTGAGCACACTGGCCTACAACATTTCCGCCTCCATCGGAAATGCAAATTGGCAGCAACAAGCACATGACCAAGTTAACTGGCGGAGCATGGGCGAGGCCTTTGTCCTGCAGTGGACGTAGTCAGGATGATGATAATGATGATGATGATGGTGGTGGTGGTGGTACTATGATGATGATGATGATGATGTTGTTGTTGTTGTTGATGATGATGATGATATGAAAGGCAAATAAGAGTGTGCGACAGGGTCGATACCATTGTAGTCTACATGGCTTTGTGTACATTGCGCACACCGTCCTTCGCGTGATTCGTGACGGACTCGAATGGCAGCCCACAGACCGGAACAGAGCAGATTCAGATAGCTATTGAACCAGCTATATGGATAGGTTATACGCCGTCACGGCAATAATGGCCATACCAGCTGTACATAGTGAAGTCATTGTTGGATGACAGCCATACATCAAGCATCGGTACGTTTTTTCCTAGAGAGAAACTTGGCTTGGCGCCTTCACCGTGTATGGGTCTTTGTTAAGACACAATGGACCATCGACAATGAAGTTACACTGAAGAAAGCGCTGTATGCGAGTACGAATATTACTTCAGGTTCTCTGAAAGTTGCAAACGTTGAACGGGTTTCAAAGATGTTGTAATGACTATATTGCTTATAGGGGCAACAAGCCTCTCACTTTTCCAATAAAGAGTTTCTCAAGAAACTGTCAGTATTCGTAGAATTTGTTGGTAATTTCAAGATGCGGATGTTTCTTCTGGGGTCTTTTTTTTTCTATCAATCTGACTCATATATTTGAATAACGCCTCCATGAAAAAATTTCGTATTGTACTTTTATAAGCATGAAACAATAAATAATTGACGCCGCTTCTAAAAGAATGCAGTTAATAAGACGAGACCTCCCTGGGACGTCATATACAAGCGGATATCCGGAACGACACTTAATAGCGATTTTCGTATTGTAGCAATCAAAAATATATATCACAAAACACCGTCATTCCTCAGCTGACATGCAGGCTTATGCGTAGCAGACGCCAGTTTGGTACCTCCTCGTAGCTTTTTATAAATGCATATTTCGTATCTTTTACTGATTACCAGTATACCTAATAACATTGGGTGTTTTCAAACGTAAGTAAATGCTGTCTTGAACATCATGCCTTCGTCATTTTTCCCGCAACATGTGACCGAAAAACGATCAGAAGTTATTACCGATGGGCAATCAACGTATATGTTGCGACAATATTACGAAAGCAGAAGTTAGCTCTATTACAAGTGCAGCTTACTCTTATTGCTAATGATACATTGCATACTGGTACTAACAATCAATAAGTAAAAAGGAGTTTTTTGTCTGACTGAAAATCTACGCTCGAAGTCTCTGAGAGTGAGAAAGGAAATCTTGAAGAACAAAAAAATAATAATGTCATTCTTTGCGCTCATTCACTAATTGGTGTGTCGGTACGTGACAATAGTATTCTAGAAGTGTAATATAAGGTACTTGTTCCCCTAGAGTTCGGTATGCATAGCAGCAGTTTTGTGTCGTGGGGAACGCTCCTATCCTCCTGCGGGCCGCTCTGAGAAAAAGAAAGGAAAACGTTGCGTCCCGGAGTGGCTGCGACACTCATTAAATCAAGGATACATGATGCCAATACATAAAAAGAAAGTCAAGGTCCATTTCAACGCTGAGTGTTCTGCATCTTCGTGTGCGCGGCCGCAATATCAACAACCTATTTAAGGAAGATGGCGTCACTTGGCGTGTGTTTTCAAATTGGTGTGTGTTTTCATTGCTGCAATAGTCGCTAACCTGTTGAGTAACGCGTCTTGAAAGACGTCGAATGTGACGTTATTGCAGACATAGCTTCAGGATTTCACCATTCCAACTCACGCTGAAACCACCAGAGCCTTGCTCAACAAGTTCGTGAATTTGGCCTCTCATTGTTGTCAGGACGTGTGAAAATATTAAAAAATTGCAAATAACTAATCGTTTAACATTGTGTTCCATTTGATGCTCGAGTAGAGTCGACTATATTCAAAACGGTGAATGTTTTTTGGAATATTTTGCATATCATCAGCACAGACAAAAAACGTCACTTTTACTTTATGTGTGCAGATTTACTGCTGTATTGAAAATTGTTGCATTCATTCAAAATGGCAAACTTTCAAAGTGGTTGTCTCATTATTCGAAAACTATCCGGACGGCATTGGATTCATATTCGTTGTATTAGGCGTATGTGATTGGGTATCATTACTAATTGATTCGTATTCCTCATGGGGGTGCTGTTCAGGATGGGCCAAGCCTCTCGGGCACCCGAGTTTGCTTTAAGCTCGCTCTACGGCGGCCATAGTGTAAAAGACCGTGTGGAGTGCGTGATAGCAGCACTGAGAAAAATGGCTACAAAACGCGCGTGGTGTCACAAGAGCCTGTGGGGCTTTGCGATGGTTATCAAAGAGACACCGCGTGTATGCACGCCAGCGCCACGACTCAGTCAACACCTCAACACTGCAGCGACGTCAGCGTGATTGTCACGCTATCTTTTTTGCCGATTCAACACTCTGCCTCTCACAAGCATGTTCATGGGCGTTTATCCACTTTCAGGCAGGTTCTTCCGTTCCACCTGCAGCATGGAAATTTACACTCTCGAAAGCAGCAAAGGTGCACACGCAGTACTTTCGTGCAGCTCCTTTGGCTTATCTCAATTTTCGCAGATAAATATAAAGACAGGTTGTTACCAGGCGTGCTCGTATCATTGGTGGCAACGTGGTTGTAAGTGAACACGTCGAGAGCGTAGTGAAATTGAATGCAAAACATCGTAGCTACGTGATGATAGAACTTTTACTCTTACGTGCGTTTTGGTATAGTCTGCGCAATAAAGCTGATAGATGAGTCGTGCCACTCGCAAGCGTTGCGCCATGAGCACTGCTCTTCGGCAAGAGCAAACGATTGATTGATTGATTGATTGATTGATTGATTGATTGATTGATTGATATGTGGGGTTTAACGTCCCAAAACCATGATATGAATAAGAGAGACGCCGTAGTGGAGGGCTCCGGAAATTTT